TGTTGCTATCTACTACATAAATATTTACTTGTTATAGATATAAGTCTGATTTATTTAAGATATGGACGTTGTGATGGGTGGGTCAGTAAGAGGTTCACTCACTAACGGGGAGGCCCCAATGTCGGCTGTCAATGTACTTAAGGATTTTTGATCATAAGGTCTGTCATTGAGTCAAGTGGCATGGTTTCGATTCCCCGGTTGTACATGATAAGGAGTAGGGTCGCCTGTTCAACTTCATGGGTTTTCTCTGGGTCCTGTTTCCTCCCACTGCTAAAGGTCCCTATACTAAAGCAAATTATTGAAATAAAATTGAATCATATGTTAGTCCACACTGATCCGCAGTGAATATTTGCTTGGCCGCGACAATCACTGATAAGGATGACATTGATGCGGCTTAATGAGCTAGAAATATTAACTTTTTTCCTGCGACAAATTAAATTCTAAAACATTTTTTTGTATATATTGGAAAAATAAAGGCGTTTGACGTATTTGTAGGTAAAAATTATTTCCGATTTAGTGTAAATGGGTATTAAAATGACTAAAATGCAGCATTCTCTTCGAAGCAGTTCTGTCTTATGTAAACAATGCACGCGCCATTCAGCCAATGATTCACACCGCATGCTGTGACAGCACGTGTTAAGGCAGTCATCTATGACAGAGATATTATACGAGACTCGTAATTCTCTGTGAAACAGATTGATGTTAGTCCTGAAATGACCTGGTTTGTGTGAGTGGAGGTTACCCCCCCCTCTCTCTCTCTCTCTATCTCTCTCTTACTGTCTGTCAAGGGGAGCTAACTGTAATTATTTCTCTATGTTTATTACAGGTTCAGATTGATAATTATGTGGGTTTGGCTACCACAGAGATTAATAAAGTCTTGTCACAGTAAGTACACCTTTATATTATAGTGGTCAAGTGGTTTAACACACATGCACTTTAGATCATAAGGTCTATCTTGGTGTCTCGGCATGACCAGGAGTGGCATCGTCGGGTCAACTTCATGGTCTTTCTAATGGATACGGGACAATTCAGCCGTGGACAACTTGTCTCCTGACGACTCATTCCCGGACAATTCGTCCCCAGGGACGAATTGTCTTAAGAGCGCGCTCTTTCTAAGGGTCCTCCGGTTTCATCCCCACTGCTAAACACCCCTATGCACAAGTAAATTAATGAAATAAAGACCCATACGTGCATGCAGATTATTAACATAAAATTATTCAATATGTTTCCCTGAAATGATTCAAAATCCCTCATTGATCAGTGGCTTTAGAAATATACATATTTGCGTAATATTAGCGTATTGTCCCTTCAGTACAATCAACGCCATTTTGGGGTTAGTGCTAAATGATAAGGCCAAGTTACGAGATGTAAACAGGGCTAGCACTAATCCCAACCCTAACCCTAGCTCTAATGCTTACCCTAACCCACAATCTCACCAACAATCACGTGCCCTAACCTCATTTACATCTCAACGACCTTGACAAAAATTTAGCTGGCCTTAACAAATAGATTTGGCACCATATTGTCTGAGAAAATTTAAATCATGTAATTATTTGTGTATTTCAGAGTTCAGGCTAAGGTACCCTTTTTGAAGAAGAAAGCAAAGACTCAGTGAGAAGTAGAAAAACAAGTTCTAGAAAACGTAAAACTCGAGATGTCACACAATGCTTCATGTGTCGTCAGCACAACAGTCTTCAATAAAACTTTATACAAAAAAAAAATATATATATATAATAAATAGGACTAATTTGCTGTTTGCCTTATTGCCACCTTTATTTGATAAAAAAAAAAGGAAAGTTTTTTTTATTTTATCGCATAGTTTGGTATATCAGCGAATCTCCCACCTACGTAAAACTTGAATATGGTTGTATTGATGAGACTGGATATGAAAGAAAGCTTTGAATATTAATTATTTAACGATAGAGGCAAAAAAATAAACTTTGAAATTGTTGGAAAAAAAGTTAAAGTGTTGTGTGGCCGGTAGTTGATGAGAAAAAAAAAATGTTATAAAATGTCTGGACATTTAATTTGAATTTATAAGATTTGATGCTTTTTAACTATTAAATTGAGTATTATGTATTAAACATCATCTGTAATTCGTATGTATATGTATTGCATTTTGCTGCATTCTCATTATTCATTCAGTGTGTTTTAAGATTTCGGTTGCAGTTTAGTTATTTCGTTATTAAAATCTTAAATTAGAACTTCCATAGTGGTTGAGAATTGTTTTTTGTTTCTGATCTCAGTGACTGAAGAATATACTCTTACATATTGTTTTGGGTTTTTTTTCTCAAAATTCTTCGATTTTGTTTGTGGTCCTTTTAGTTCTTTTATAAATATAAAAGTTTGGACTTGATTAGATGTGTTCCTGTTAAACAGGGACGGAACGGAACTGACTTCATAGGAAGTTGATTTTCTTATTTTAAATTTATGGCTGTGTGGGGTGAGACTATTTGTGATATAATTATTATTCAGTTCAGTTCAGTTAATATTAGCTTTACGTAATATCAATGCAATATTTAGTTCGATGCCATGTATTATTACTATTCCTAGAGTTAACACCCTTTTTTTATATTCGGTGCATTTATCGTCATATTAAATGATTAAGTTCGCATGAAAAAAATGAGTTTATTTCAATTTTTTTTTTACAATTCTTCCAAGATGAAATAAAGATTGCTTAGAAATTAATAAGACACTCATTTGCAAGAAAATATAAAAATGGATTTTTTAAAAAAGATTACTAGACCGATCTCCTAAATTGTACATTAATTAGTGGAGCTATATTAATTGTATAAACAAAGTTTATAATTAGAGACTATATCCTGTAAATGTTTAGAAATTATTTGACTTGCTTTTTAAACTAACAACTGATGAAAATTTTACATAGAATATTGTAAACTTCACGTATGTGATTCACTGTGTGTATATGATATGATATGCTTATATGACAGGAGATTAATTAATTAATTTAATTTAAATATTTTTTTTTTTTAAATTTAGATTTCTAATATGTATAAATATATACGCCTTGCCGTGAATGTGGTAACGATAGATGTAGTTAAAAGTCATGTCTAATCGATGTTTAGAAAATCTCATTGTCTAAGTCCTGTTTATCAAGTCTAACAAATATATATTGCTCAAAATGATGGAGTTTGTCTTCAATGTAATGTTAGAAAAATATCTCAATTCAATTCGATTTTTGGCTAAATTGAATAAAGAAATGATCACTCAATTTAATTCGATTTTTAGCTAAATTGAATAAAGAAATGATCACTCGAAGACTGATGATAAACGCTTTGTAGTTCGACTTGTATCTCGTAAAGAGTTAATATCGTATACTTCATCAATATGGGTGCGTAACTCCTATCGGTTATCACTATACTAATTGATATCCCATGTTTGTTAACCGAGATTAGTATAATATCAAGATTTGCGTTAATCCTATTGATGCAATGTTTTCCTGTATTCTATTACTTGCACTGCTTGTTCCAAGTTTGTGATTCACTCTCCTATCCTGTCTATTAATATTGTAAAATATTATATATCTCTAAAATAAACTGTTTCTAAATTCTATAAAGTACTATTTCTTCCTTTCTTACATCCATACATACGTTTAAATAATTTAATAAATGTACTATAAAAATATTTTTATGTTGTGAATTCTCTTTTGTGGAAATGTCAGTTTAACAAGTCTGAGTGTACTTTATGAATCCAGAACCGACCCATTGTCTGTATCTCCAGTGGTATCGTTCCGCTCTATTCCACTTACCCATGGGTCCATCCATGGGGTATTCACAGATTCAAATTATCTACCCTTGATGATTTCATTGGCACATGGATTGTTTCTACAAAGCAATCAAAGAAAAACAGTTTACAAGCCAGTCTTAGGAGCATAACAGTAGGACGTTAAACCCCATTTCATTTCATTTCATTTCATTTCACAAGCCAGTCTTACGTTTTTAGTAGGATACCCACAGTTCCGTGCATTGAACGCCAAGAACTCCCTGCAACACTACAGACCCATTCATTGGCTTATCCCTCACATCAACGAAAATGTTGGTTATATAACAACTCTTCCAGATCCTAGTGTAGTAAAACGAAATTTTCACTATAATAAACGACAGGAAATAAGATCTGTGTTTTAATCAGATAGTGAATAATATTGTCACAAGAACAAGGAGATTACCAAGTGTATGGAACCAGTTCTGGGTTTAACGACCTCTGCAAATTGTTTGGAGTAGATTAATGACTAGATAAGCGGGTGGTACTTTTTACCGCTGACCAAATGCTTAATGATTCCTTGTTACCGCCGACTATATAAAATTAATTAAATTATTAGTGACAAATAAATAGATTTGGTTCAATACACAAAGTTTGATAAAAATATAGATTTTATTATATATAAATATGGTCGACAGTCGAACTTGTCGGCGGTAATTATATTACGGTCGAAAGTCATTACATTGCGGTCGGCGGTAAAAAGTATTTGGTCGGCCGTTATTACACGACGGTCGGCGGTAAAAAGTACCACCGTAATAAGCTGAGTCCCGACACCTCTCAGTAATAAGCAGTAATTGTATTCCATAGAATTGTAACCTGTATTCCGCAATTAAACAAATTAAAAGGGAATCACGTTGTAAAATCCTTAGGAACTGTAACTTTCTCATCCAACTGAATTTCTAAAATGAATATCAGTCACAAAAATTATGATGAATTAAAACCTTTGGCAGATATAAACGTGTCAGTGTCACTTATAAGTGTTGGGCAAACTCTTTTGATGGGCCTCCCTTGAATACAAGATGGATTTGATTTACTATACGGACACAGAATTTGTCTAGGGGATTAAACAATAATAGCGTGAAAAATATCTAGATCTAGTAATTGTCTAGTCTCGCAACAATTTTTTTCATCATGAAATAAAAAGACACCAGCTGAGATAATTTTATGGTATAAGGGAAGTAACTCTAGTTATGTAATTTTGAGTTACCTCCCTGGTGTTTCCATGGCAAATGCTAAGATGGCTGACGAAAATTCTAAATAATTTTTTCTAACAACGTTTTATAGAAAAAATGTCTAAACTAGCAACAACAACCGATACGGTAAGTTTTTATCAATGAGATTTTGTGAAGATCAATTGTCTCTTTTATCATTATCTGTCGAATTAATCTCAATAATTGCTATATTTGAATTTGTTTAGGATTGTTAATATTGTTATTTGTTTACATTTCTTCAAAATCTACCAATTCTATTTAGTACCGATACTATTATTATTATTATAATTCCCCTGACCCTGTCTTCTACAGAAATATTCATGTTCCATTGCTGCAAAAGATGATTTCTATTCCTCATCTTGATTCACCATTTTGTTAATCATAAAATAGTTACAAACTTACATACTTTGAATAACATCTTTATTACCAATCAGTAGGCTGCTACCATCCATCCTCCCACTACTCCCAGGGTGCTTTCCAAGATGATTATGATAGGACGTTAATGGGCAGAAAGATATGACAGACAATATTAAGGGCTTTTTTTAAAACATTTATGAAAAGAAGACTTAACATAAAAAAACATCATTCATCAACAATCGAAGTCTGACCACATTTGATTTTATTTTGAGGATATAGAATCTAAGTCTAACCATTTGGAAATATGTTTTGAATCGTTCAAAAAATGATAAAGGATATTCGCTCATAGTGACAAAATGAGTTAACCGCCTTGGTCACATTAAAATTTTAATGTGTCATCTTGTAGATAGGTTAGCTTATTACTATTGTCACGTGAATGCCTATTTTGGGCGAATGTTTGCTGCGGCCTCTGAATACACGTGTGAGTCACTAAATTTTGCTCTTGCGCATAAATGTAATTATAGATGCAACAGGTTGACAGGTAGGTGCAGTTTCTATTAACTTAAATATTTGAAGCTATGGACCACACTATGAGTTAGGACCGAATATGTTCGTCGTGGACTTGTCTTATTATTGGCTCACAGTTTAAGAAAAAAAAAGTAACAACTTGGCATATTGGAATTAGACCTTGTAACCAAAGTTCTATAAGCTCTGTGGGGGTAGTTCTCTGGTTCACCATGAATGGATGGCATGGATTAAAATGTATTTATTGAATCTAAAAACCACATGTGAGATAGACCATGTTTTATTCAACCTCTCCAAGTACCAAATATTCCACATATGGGAGATAACTCCCAAAAACTCCAATAAAGAACAAAGGGGAGGGAACTCTTCTATGAAAGGTGGCATTACTGTATGACATGTGTCTGAGTATTAGACCAATCTGAGAATATTACAACAGCAAGCTGGATCATGTCTGCTAATGCTTCTTATAAAATTTTGTCGTTTATTTAGAATTTACAACCGACATTGGGTAAATGGGTCTGGAAAGAAGAAACAAATACTTTAGAGTTCGTCAGGTTAGTTGTGTATTCTGTTCAAATTTATTCTCTAGGTCTAGTTACATGGGGGCAGTGGTAAATGGAACAATATCTCCCCTATTTAGAAGAAATTATTTGAAAAAAAAATTAGAAGTAGGCCTACATTGTTTAAAATTATAAATAAAATGAAGAATTAAATTACAAAGAAAAAGAAAATAGTACATTATTGTTTGAAATAATAATTATTTATATGAAGGGTTAAATCACAAAGAAAAATATAATTTTTTTTCAAGTTTTATATTTCTAACATTTTTATTATGTTGGTGAATTTGTTTTTAGTCTGCACCCAGATAATAAAGACAAGAGAAGAAAGAACAAGGGTCATCATGATAAAAATAGACTTGATAGGTAAGTACTGAAATGACATGAATTTAAAGGGACTATCCCGATTTGAACTGAGTCTCAAACATAAAAGTCAGAGTACGTATGAAATTTAAGCGCCAGAATATAGAGGATTGGTGTATTGACCTTGTCTCAAAATTTCAGCTCAGAATATTGAGTCGTTTGGACGTGAACGTCAAAACTGCTTATCCGGACACATAACCCTTTTAAGATTTCGAGTAAATTTTTTCGTTGGGTGACCTGATAATCGATTACCATTCCTTTAGAGGTCTATGAATGACCCATGTGCTGTACTTGATAACGAAAGGTAAATTTCACCTACACATTATTTTTTATAAAATAAAAGTCTGGTTTTATCCAGACACCATATAATACAGCTTGGGACACTGGTTTCCATTTCCAGATGAAGATTGACGGGTTTAAGTTGTTTGAAAACGTATCACATATATTGAGTTAGTTGCTCAGCCCTAAGGTAGAGGATTTTAAGGGATTTTAACACAAAATTAAGCAGTTTTATTCTCCAAAATATTATCGGGATTGACCCTTTAATGTCATACTTGCACTGACTTGGTTACTGAAGGCGGGCATACACCATACACTGTGTGTGGGTGGTTGGCCGAATGGTTAATGCATGCGCGTTGGATCAGAAGGTCTGTCAAAAGTCAAGTGGCGTGGTTTCAATTCCCAACTTATATGTGACAAGTAGGGTCCCCTGTCCAATCTCAGGAGTTTTCTCCGATTTCCTTCCACTGCTAAAGACCCATACCCACAAGTGAATTATTGAAATAAATAATTGAACCATATGTTTGTCTAAAATTATCTAATTTGTGTTAAGTAGATGTTAAACCGTCTCTCTCTCTCTCTCTCTCTCTCTCTCTCTCTCTCTCTCTCTCTCTCTCTCCATACACTATGATATGCTATCCATAATCCACATATGACGTCATAAAATGCGCAGGACCGTGTTCGATCTAGCCTTCTCCAGCGTTTTGAGCATGCATACTAACATGGACCAGTGAGGGGTATAAATGTATATATTATTACCAAACTTTATTGGAGAATGTTTATTTTCAGAGTCGTGTCAAGTGGGGCAAGAAACCTTGGAGGTGGTAAAGTTCGAGGTCCAGCTAGGTTAACAAATGCCAAATCTCCCAAAGCCAACAGACGAGATGTAGAAAATGATAAAGTTATGTTAGAAGATATTAAACGTAAGAACTTCTTTATTTTATTTAGCGGGGGTTTGGGGGGCCAAATGGTTAATGTGTGTGCGTTCTATCATAAGGTGTGTCATTGAGTCAAGTGTCATGATTCCATTCCCCGCTTGTATGTGACAAGGATTAGGGTCATTTATCCAACCTCATGGGTTTTCTCCAGGTCCTCCGGTTTTCTTCCACTGCTAAAACCCCTATGCTCAAACGGATTATTGAAATAAAATTGAACCATGTGTTAGTCCGAAAATGACTAACTAAAGTTTTTACGATAAAAAACATAGTCTCGATTATCCATTTTTGGATTAAATCATCAATGAGCATTGAGCAGCAAATTGGATTCAAATCCAGAGAAAATCTGACACATAAGATGACAACGAGAGTTGATTAAGGTGTTTTCATGTTAATAAATGTCTAATTAATAGTTTATATAACATTTCAGGCACAAAGAAAGACCTGCAATAGGCAGTTTTAGCTCTTGCATAATGTATGTTTAATGAACCCCGAACATGCCTTTGACTCATAAAAACATTACGAATTTGTATTTTGCTTATGCTTATTAAAACTTCAATAGCTTCATATAACTAGCAGCTCTAATACTGTTTTATTATTTTGCTTGTATTTCAGGGGTAGCACATGGTATGATGTCAGAGGTTGATATAATACCTGATTCTTTTAATATGTTAAATGGGTAAATATCCTACTTTTACTTTTTATACGCCCACATTTTCATGTGGACGTATATTGTCGTCACCCCTGTCCGTCCGTCCGTCCACAATTGTTTGTGAACAGTCTACAGGTCACAATTTTTATCCGATTTCAATGAAACTTGAAATATAGGTTTATCACCCTAAGATCTCGGTTCCTTTCGATATTGGCATCTATCGGACCGTAACTTCATGGATTATGGCCCCTGATTGTACGAAAATCACGTTTTTGGCTTGTGAACACTGTAGAGGTCAATATTTTTATCCGATTTTGTTGAAACTTGAAATGTAAGTTTATAACCCAAAGATCTCGGTTCTTTTCGATATTCGCGCATATCGGACCGTAACTTCCTGAATTATGGCCCCTGATTGTACGTAAAAACACATTTTTTGGCTTGTGGACCCTATAGAGGTCATACTTTTTATCCGATTTAAAAAAACGTATTATTATATCACTGTTAAACCCTAAGGACGGTTGAGTTCGAATTTTGTGAAAATTGGCCCAAAACTGACAGACAAAATGGCCGCCATTCGTTCTCAAATAGCGTAAAAATATGGTATATCAAGGTTGTGGACCCTATAGAGGTCACAATTTTTATCCGATTTTGTTGAAACTTGAAATGTAAGTTTATAACCCAAAGATCTCGGTTCCTTTCGATATTTGCGCATATCGAATTGTAATTTCCTGAATTATGGCCCTTGATTGTAGGAAAAATCACTTTCGTTTTAGCTTGTTTTCTATCCATCTCTCGAAAATGTGGGCGTATCCTGCCTGGCAGCCGCTGGTTTATTCATAGAGAATATTAAAACTTAAAGTGGGTAACCCACTAGAAACATAAACTCTGATTGGTTAATCAAATGTCTGATGTCATAGGGTCAAAAGATGCTTGTATGACCTCTGATGCAACCTTCCACTACAACTGGTTAGATCTTCATGTAGTAGATGCCATCGAAAGTATAAAAAAAATAAACGAAATATAGATGTGTATTTTAATCAGACTGGATGTTATATAAACCCCAATTCATTTCATACTGAGGTGTATTTGGGGGGTTGGATGGCTGAATGGTTAGCGTGCACGCGCTGTATCATAAAGTCTGTCATTGAGTCGACTGGCGTGGTTTCGAATCCCCGGTTGTACGTGACAAAGAGTAGGGTTGCCTGTCCAACCTCGTGGGTTTTCTCCGGGTCCTCCTGTTTCCTCCCACTGCTAAAGACCCCTACGCGCAAGCGAATTATTGAAATAAAATTAAACCATATGTTAGTCCCGAAATGACCTAGTTTGTGTCGAGTGGACGTTAAACCCCATTTCTCTCTCTCTGTGGTGTAATTAATATACCGGTACAGAAAATTTTATTTTTCTTCTACTTTCAGTACAGATGAATTTGATCATTTTCTATTAAATTTAATCACATATTTCAACTGTTTCTTTGAGAAAATGGCTCAAGATAAAAGGAAGAATCCGATGTATATGTGAGTTTTTAACAATTCTTAATTAGAGTATTGTCCCTTTAAAAGATAAACAGCAAAAAGTTGCTAATATTCAATCAATTAAAGTCACTGGAAAAGCTTAAAATCTTTTTTTAAATAATGCAAGTAATTATGTCAACATATTCTTTCCATAAGTATAACACGATCCCGAATGTCAGTGTGACCTGTCACTGGCAAATTTCTTCATTAGTAATTTCTGCTGTTTTTCGTGGGTAGTCGTAACTTTCCGTCAATAAACAATCTATGACCTCATTTTAGGCCGTCTGCTCATATTCTAGTCTATATTTTTATGAGCAGAAGGACTAAAATGATGACACAGATTGTTTATTGACAGAAAGTTACGACTACCCACGAAGAACGGCAGAAATTACTAACGATGAAATTTACCTGTCGCAGGTAATATTGACATCCGGGTTCGTGTTATACTGATGAGGTAAGTATTGGGGTTGACAAGGTAAATATTCTGAGTTGTTCAGAAGATATGAAAAACTGAGGTTTCTTCATGTACTCATGAAAGATCCCTCAGCAGTTGGAAATTGAAGAAGTTTAGACGGAAGCCCAGCTGTTTAGATAAAAATTGCCTCACTCGTATATCAGACGTAACCATGGAAAATGAAAATGACCATATGTTTGTCGAAAAATGGCCAAAGAATTGTGTGAAAGACCTGGTCCCGATTCACAAAACATTTTCAGACTTAAGTTAAAAGTTTACTCAACTTTCAATCACTTTTATCAGAAATATCTTTGATCCAGAAACAAAAAACTTTGTACATAGTTTCTTGTTAATGTATTTGATACATTAAAACAATAAAAGTTTTATATTTTAGTTAAAATAATTTTGAGTAAATTCTTAAGTCTTAGAAAGCTTTGTAAACTCGGCGCCTGATTTTGTATGTCTTATTGAAAACATTGACCCCCATTTAATTTGATTTCATGTATATTACAGAGAGCCGAGTCTGGCAGAGAGGAAAGCGCTTGCAGACGCCTGTGAAAGATTAACGGTAGCCCAGAAGTTATTAGGTCGATCTTATTGTATACTTGTTTTAGGATTAGGATTAGAAAAACAACATCACATGTCTTGTGGTTTGTAAGTATGCCAATTATTACAGTTATCAATGCTCCGGTCATCTGAGAGCCGTCTCCTGTATGTGCCACCATCCGGATCCCGTACCTTTGGAGACCGCTCGTTCATGGTTGTTGGTCCTTACTGGAGCTTAGAGCTTTTGACAAAATTGATATCTTCAAATCGAGACTGAAAACACACTTTTCCGTGAAGCCTACTGTGAAAGACTCCTGTTTTCACCTTTGTGTCATTGATGAATTTTCCCATGCGCGGTTGAGCAGTTTTCTGGAATCAGCGATTATAAGTATTTTCATTCATTTGTATAAAAAAAGAACACAATTTATATGGGAAATAATCACTGGTTTTATTCTAAAAGCATGACGTTTCGACAAGTATCCTCTTACAAGCAAACCGTGATAAGTGTTACTGGCAGTCATCAATGACACTGGATAATCATACATTCCTATAAACAGTGTGCGCTGGCTCACTAGCCTGGACGTTGCGGGTTTGATCCCAGTGTTGACCGAGAAATTTTATCAGGATTTTCTGACATGGTTTCCCATTGTCAGTGGTGCAGGACATAGAACCCTGACAAGGACAGTTGTCTAGTCATTTGGATGGAACGAAAAACCTGAGGTCCTGTGTATGCATTGGCAGGCACGTAAAAGATCCCTTGGCAGTTAGAATACAATGTAAGAGTAGGCCGTAGCGCCGCTGACAGGCAAATTTCCCTCATAGCACACTGTATGGCGTATCGTCATCTTCATCAGCCCAATCGGAGCAGAACAGTAGGATATTAAACCCCATTTCATTTCATTTAATTTCAACTGGCGTGGTTTCAATTCCCCAGTTGTATGTGACAAGGGGTGGGGTCGCCTGTCCAACCTCGTGGATTTTCTCCATGTCCTCCGGTTTCCTCCCACTGCTAAAGACCCCTACGCGCAAGCAAATTATTGAAATAAAATTGAACCATGTGTTAGTCCCGAAATGACCTAGTTTGTGTTGAGTGGATGTTAAACTCTCTCTCTCTCTATCTCTCTCTCTCTCAAATTTATTTTATAAATAGTGTAATGAGATAATGACCCTTTGACATAATAAAAACACACAAAAAAATCTCCCTCCCCATCAAATTTTTTGAAAGGGTTGTCTAAAACCAGAATATTTATTTTTATTCGACCTAACAAATGCTGACCTATGATATATGCTGACCTTTGACATATGCTGACCTTTGACATATGCTGACCTTTGACATATGTTTATATAGAAATTTTAATATATGGAGAATATTAATTTATGTTACATAGTTGCAAATAAACTAAAAGAAAGGGGATTTTTTTGAGTTGTCTCCCTTTAGTCTTCGAATTGTTAATCCAGGTTTAGTTGTGAAGACTCTGATTTTCAGAGGTAACAAACTACCAATATCTCCTTTGGAGTTCCTTCAAAACTTAATCTCCAAAAATTATCACAGATCTTGGGGTTAGGTCCCGACTAACATTATTTACAATATTTGAAGACTAAAGGGAGACAACTTAGAGAAAAATCAGATCTTATTTGCCCCAATGTACATATTATATACCTATGTGTTATGTAATTTATTTTTATTGTCAGATCTCGAGTATCTTCAACATATCAAGATAGATCTATGTTTGAGGTGAGTATATTATTCTTCACTGCCCATCCGAATAACAAGACACTTTGGGGGGGATTGGATGGCCGATTGGTTAGCGCATGCACTTGCATCATAAAGTCTGTCATTGAGTCATCTGGTGTGGTTTCTTCTCACTCCTAGAGACCCCTATGTGCAAGCGAATTATTGAAATAAAATTGAACCATATGTTAGTCCCAAAATGCTCTAGTTTGTGTCGATTGAACATTAAACCTCTCTCTCTCTCTTTCTCTCTCTCTCCTTCATTCTGTCATTCATTCATTCTATCTTTTCTTTCAGTCTTTTTATAATTTTTGTACCTTTGTTGTGTGGATCACATTTAGAAGAAGAGATTTTGAAATTGTCAAAAAAGAAATAGGAAGGTAAATATTTTAAATTGTAATTATTTTAAATTGTAATTATTTTAAATTGTAATTATTTGTAATTATTTTAAATTGTAATATTATTTTTAATTATAATTAGTAATATATTTTTAAATTTATTTTTAAATTTATTTTTAAATTTTGAATTTATTTTTAAATTTTGAATTTATTTTTAAATTTTGAATTTATTTTTAAATTTTAAATTTATTTTTAAATTTTAAATTTATTTTTAAATTTTAAATTTATTTTTAAATTTTAAATTTATTTTTAAATTTTAAATTTATTTTTAAATTTTAAATTTATTTTTAAATTTTAAATTGAATTTTAAATTTAAATTTAAAATTATTTTAAGATTATTTTTGAATTTTAAATTATTGGTAGTTTTTTTTAAATTGTAATTTTTTAATTTTAAATTTTTGAAATTGTATTAATTTTAAATTTTTGAAATTGTATTAATTTTAAATTTTTGAAATTGTATTAATTTTAAATTTTTGAAATTGTATTAATTTTAAAATTCTCATTATTTTTAATGGTAATTATTTTAAATTGTATTTTTTTTCCAATTGTAATTTTTTTTTTTCAAATGTAATTTTTTTTTTTCAAATTGTAATATTTTTTTTCAAATTGTAATTATTTTTATTTGTAATTGTTTTTAAATTGTAATTGTTTTAATCAATCATGTTACAGAATGTTACGATCTGATACATTTAACCCTGCAATAAGAGTCAAATATGCACAAGAAGGTAATAATCTAATATCAATATATTGCCCTTGTCAGTGATGCAGTACAATTTGTAGTCCTTCAGATGAGATGAAAACTGAGGTCCTGTGTACACTTTGGCATGCACGTAAAAGAACCCTTGGCCGTTTTTAATTCGATATAAGAGTGGGCCGTAGCGCCGGTGTCCAGGCAAAATTTCCCCTTTAGCACACTGTATGGATGTATGCACTTTTTCACTTGCCTAATTCGGAGCAGAACAGTAGGTCATTAAACCCCATTTCATTTTATTCCATTTTCATATCAATTTATTAATTTTTCAATTGTAATTGTTAAGGCGGCACCCATTTGCTTTAACAGAGAAAAAATCCTCAGGTAGAAAGAAAAAGAAGATTTAATTGCAGTGTTTTAAAAAAAAAACGTTAAGCAATTAATAATAAACTTTCAATTATTCACTATTAGATATAATTTGATATTTTTTTTAGAACCTAAAGAGGCGACCCAACCCACAGCTAAAAAAGATGTAGAAGAAATTAAGAAAGAAAACTCAGAAATTAAATTATCCCCAGCTGAATACAGACGGCTTCATCCGTAAGTTAAATAAATGATACCAATCTATTTGACAGTGGTAATAGGAAAGCCTTCTTTAAACACTTGGTTGAATGGCCGTGCGTGTTGTATCATAAGGTCTGTCACTGAGTCAACTGGCATGGTTTCGATTCCCCAGTTGTACGTGACAAGGAGTAGGGGCGTCTGTCCAACTGTGTGGGTTTTCTCTTGGTCCTCCGGTTTTCTCCACTGCTAAAGACCTGTATTAATTAATTAAACAAAAATTAAACCATATGTTAGTCCCCAAATAAGTAGAAATTTGTGTAAATAAAAATGGAAAAATTTATTGTTTCCAGTAATTATTAATCATTTTAAAATATATTTTATTTTTTTAACAGAAAAAGGCCAGCCATCAAATCTATTGTAAAGTAAGTAAATTGTTTAATATACCAAGTAATTAAAATGTCAAGCTACCATGGCAACATATGGCGCTGGCAATATAACCAGGAGGTTCAGGTTCAATCAAGGTGATGGCCAATAAAGTGTCTCTGGAATTTTCTGCATGGGTCCATTCCCCCTTGTCAGTGGTACAGGACAGAAAATCCATAGTCAAATATTTTTTAAAACAGATATTTTTTAAAATATTTTTTTAAAACAGATATTTTTTTAAATATTTTTTTAAAACAGTCAGATATTTTTCTTTTTTTTTTTTAAATATCAATATATATCTAATCAGTTTTATTATTATTATTATATTTTGTTTCCAGTCAGAGATCTCCGGCCATTGTATCCTTATTACCATCACCTAAAGAAGAAGCCCATTGGTTATTTAAACGGGCAACACCTTCAAGGTAACAAATGAATACAATTTGTTTTAAAAGAACAAATGAAATGAAATGGGGTTTAAAGTCCTACTGTTCTACTCCTGACAGGGCTAATGAAGATGGGCATACAGGGTGCTATGAGAGACATTTTGCCCAGGCAGCGACACTAGGTCTACTCTTATATCGAATTCCAACTGTCAAAGGTTCTTTTATGTGCAAGGGACCTCGGTTTTCCATCCCATTTGAACGACTATACGTTTTCCCTTGCCAGGCCCTCTGTTCTACACCACTGACAAGGGAGAACCATGCCAGAAAATCCTGATGAAACTTCTCATTCAACACGTGACCTCCCACTCACTGAACCACTGTGACACAAATTATGAAAGTTAAGCATATATTATGCAAGAGCTAAATCTGCCTATTGCAGGTCTTTGTTTAGTCCTGAAATGTTATCTAAATTATTAATTAGACATTATTTAACTTATCCAGATCATAATCAACTCTCGATGTCATCGCTAGTTTGCGTAATTTACTGGATTTGAATCTAATTTGGATAATCAAGACTATGTTTTTTATTGTACAGACTAGTAATGATGATCGGGGCTAGGCTTCAAATCCAAAAGCTAATATCTCGGTTCAGAGTGGATCAGTTTGACTGACATTTTCAGCATATCCTCTTTACATTATCTAGTTTTTAACTATTATAGTGAGAACTGTCAGCTCTTTATCTAATCTTCTATAATGTACCGTTAACTATTATAGTGAGAACTGTCAACTCTTTATCTAATCTCCCATAATATATTTTTAACTATTACAGTGAGAACTGTCATCTCTTTATCTAATCTCCCATACTGTATCTTTAACTATTATAGTGAGAACTGCCAGCTCTTTATCTAATCTTCTATAATGTATTTTTAACTATTATAGTGAGAACTACCAGCTCTTTATCTAATCTCCCATAATGTATCTTTAACAAATATTTAAGGTCTGTAAATGAAGATGGTAGCGATGAATTTAGTTTGGAAGATGATTTAATAATTAACATACAGAGATACAGGTAATTATGCAACAGGTAAATCTGCCTATATCAGGTCTTTTTTTAGGCCTAAAATGTTATTTAAACTATTAAACATGCATTATATAAGAGCTTAAAGGTCACCGGAAAAGGTTCATAAATTTTTTAAATAATGCAAGTAATTATGTCAACATATCCTTTCCATAAGTATAACACGAACCCGAATGTCAATATTACCTGCAACAGGTAAATTTCAACGTTAGCAATTTCCGCCATTCTCCGTGGGTAGTCGTAACTTTCCGTAAATTTGACGTCATTTTAGTCCTTCTGTTCATATTCTAGTCTATATTTCTATGTGCAGAAGGACTAAAATGACGTCACGGATTGCTTATTGACGGAAAGTTCCGACTACCGACGGAGAACGGCGGAAATTACTAATGTTGAAATTTACCTGTTGCAGGTATTATTGACGTTTGGGCTCGGGTTATACTTATGGAAAGGATATGTTGACATAATTACTTGCATTATTTTAAAAAAAAATTTATGCTTTTCCGGTGACCTTTAATCTGTCTATTGCAGGTGTTTCTTTAGGCCTAAAATGTTTTATAAATTATTAATTAGACATTAAATAACATGACAAGAGCTTATCAAATCTCGATGCCATTGGATGTCTCTGATATTAATTAGATTAGAACGGTAACCTTATGCCAAATTCGTATACCGGTACTATAGAGACCAGCTAGCATGTTGAACCAATTACATCAGATTGTGGGGCGGGGGGGGATGGCTGAATGGTTAGCATGTGCGCACTGTATCATAAGGTCTGTCATTGAGTCTACTGGCGTGGTTTCGAATCCCCGGTTGTATGTGACAAGGAGTAGGGTCCCCTGTCCAACCTCGTAGATTTTCTGAGGGTCCTCCCATTTCCTCCCACTGCTAAAGACCCCTATGCGCAAGCGAATTATTGAAATAATATTGAACCATATATTAATCCCAAAATGACCTAGTTTGTGTTGAGTGAAGGTTACCCCCCACCCTCTCTCTTGAACCAATTAGATCAGATTGTTTCTGAATTTAAGATTGATGAAAACGTTGTTAAAAATTGTTGATCTTCCCCTTTAAATCAAGTGGCATGGTTTCATTTCCCAGCTTGTACATGACAAGGGGTAGGGCCACCTGCCTTACCTTGTGGGATTTGTCCAAGGTCCTTCAGTTTCCTCCATCCCCTACATTCAAGCTTTCTCTGTTTACAGAATGGGTAGTCTATCTGTGGGTATTTTAAACTCTATTTTCAGAATGGGTAGTCTATCTGTGGGTATTTTAAACTCTATTTACAGAATGGGTAGTCTATCTGTGGGTATTTTAAACTCTATTTACAGAATGGGTAGTCTATCTGTGGGTATTTTAAACTCTATTTACAGAATGGGTAGTCTATCTGTGGGTATTTTAAACTCTATTTACAGAATGGGTCGTTTATCTGTGGGTATTTTAAACTCTATTTACAGAATGGGTAGTTTATCCATGGGTATTTTAAAATTTTCAGCATGGGTAGTTTATCTGTGGGTATTTTAATCTCTATTTACAGAATGGGTAGTCTATCTGTGGGTATATTAGGAGAACCATACAGTCAGTTTAACTCGATAACTTTAACACCAGTTGGAGCAGAAACAGAAGATGAAGAAAATGAAGGCGGAGACGGAAATGATAAAATGTAATATTCTAGATTATTCGTAATATCTTTATCTTGTTGGGGGCCGCAGTCGTCGTATGGTAGGACCTGAGTTCAAATCCCTTTTTCAGGGTTGCCACTCATGGGGCTGACAAGAAAAGTGTGTGTAGTGTCTAGAATGAGAGGGGACATGTACAGATTGGGAGTGCACGTTAAAGATTTCTTGCTAATTGGAATTCATAGAAAAGTAAATGGAAACGCCACATTTGCAAAGTGACCATAGAATTATAAAAAAGTATCCTGAATTAATCTCTAAACAGCCGAAGTATTATATTTACGAGACATTAAGTCCCCGATGGTCCATTCTTTCCTTGCCTTTGTCTTGTTATCCAGAATAACACATGATGGATTCATTAGTATTTTCTTTGATTGGCATTGGGTAATTGAACATATTAACACAAGGTACAATTTTATGGATACATATTATATTAAACTCGGTAATTGTGTATCCATAAAGCTTAGTATTAAACTCAGTAATTGTGTATCCATAAAATTGTACCTAGTGTTGATTTATTAGTAGTTGGTCAAAGTCACTCAATGAGAAAGGCACTGGCTCACTGACCAGGAAGGGGAGTTGTGTGGACGAATGGTTTAATGCATGTGCTGAGGTCTGTCATAGAGTCAGGTGGCATAGGTTCGATTCGCCGGTTGTTCATGACAAGGAGTATGGTCGCCTTTCCAACCTTGTGGGTTTTCTCCAGGTCCTCCGATTTCCTCCCACTGGTAAAGACCCCTATGCACAAGTGAATTATTGAAATAAAATTGAAGCAGAGGTTATGTCGAGTTGATGTTAAACATCATTTCTCTCTCATTTCATTTCTTTCTCATAAAATATATAACATTTAGTATTTTTTCTTTTCTTTTTCAATTAGAAGTGGAGATGATCTTGTAGATAAGTCTAACTCTGGTATGTTTTCTTTTATAATATTTTATTTTTTTATTAAAATTACATTTTCTTACAATCTGATTAAAATGCAGATCTATATTTCGTTACGTTTTTTTATACTTTGGATGACCTACACTACATGAAGATCTAAACGGTTGTAGTGGAAGGCTCTGTCCAAGGTTATATGAGTGGCTTTTGATCCTTGATTAAACAATCAGCATTGATGTTTCTAGTGGGTTACCTACAGTTACAGACCATTTCATTGGCTAATCCCTCACATCATCCAGAAAATGGGTTACATAACAACTCTTCCTGATACTAGTGTAGTAAAGACAAGAAAAACAAAATTTTGAATTAAAAAACAAAACGAAATAGGATCTGTGTTTTAATCAGCTTGATTTTCTTAAAAAAAGTATTTATCTGGTGGTTATTTCCAATAACAGGGGGGGTTGGATGGCCAAATGGTTAGCACGTGGGTGTTGTATCATAAGCCCTGTCATTGAGTCAACTGGCGTGGTTTCGAATCCCCGGTTGTACGTGACAAGGAGTACGGTTGCCTGTCCAACCTCGTGGGTTTTCTCCGGGTCCTCCAGTTTCCTCCATATGTTAGTCCCGAAATGACCTAGTTTGTGTCAAGTGGACGTTAAACCCCATTTCTCTCTCTCTCTCTCTCTCTCTCTCTCTCTCTCTCTCTCTCCTATAACAGTGTGGCAATTTTGGTATGGAAATTAGGGGCACTCAGTCTTATTCGAAAAATACTGGATTTCCCGAAAAACAAACATGGAGCACCCACAAGACAAAAATCTGAAGGTATCCCTGATCAAGTGACGTAAGGAGTTCATATGTGTTGATCTAATGGCTAACAGTTGTGTGAATATTAAAAGAACTAAACGTCCAGTAAACTCTATGATTAAACCGCGGAAAAAGAAATTGGTTTACTTATATTAGTTAGTTTGTTAACTTTCTGGTGATGGTTTACTTATATCAGTTAGAATTTACTTAGTCTTCAATATTGGTGGTAACTGGACAGCGACTAACAACAAATACAAGCTGGAAAAAAAGGCCGCATTATAAAGATAGGTTGCCAGGCAACGAAACATACGCCCACAGCAGCTAAATCGTCCGGGCAGTCAACAAGTGTTGTCGCATATTTTTACTTCTTTTGGTAATGAAACATTTATAATACATTAAAATCTGATTAAGAGTAACAACTCATGAAGTAATTATCAGAAAACCATTAGAATTTGTTTGGTTTTTATAAAGTTCTGCCCCATGCTAACGTTTAGTATACCAAACTTTTAATATCATGGATTTAGCTGTTCAAGTCATAAAAATTAATTGAAAATCAATATACTTGTTCGTCTCAAGATCTTAAACTCTGTGTATCAATCTGAAGTCAATTGGATGATAATTTTAGCCTCCAGAGCGGCACAAGATTTTTCAAAGTGATCAAGGGCCATAACTTTGACAGTAATTATCGGAAATTGTTGAAAATCAATAGATTTCTTCGTCTCATGACCTCAAACACTGTGTATAAATTTAAAGTCAATCGGATATTAACTTTAGCCTCTAGAGCATCCACAAGATTTTTTGAAGTGTTCAAAAGCCATAACTCTGACAGTAATTATTGATAATCGTTGAAAATCAATAGACTTCTTTGTCTCGTGACCTCAAACACTGTGTATAAATTTAAAGTCAATCGGATATTAACTTTAGCCTCTAGAGCATCCACAAGATTTTTTGAAGTGTTCAAGGAACATAACTCTGGTAGTAATTATCGAAAGTCACTGAAAATGAATAGATTTCTTCGTCACATGACCTTAAACACTGTGTATAAATTTAAAGTCAATCGGATATTAATTTTCGCCTGTAGAGCGTCCACAAGATTTTTTGAAGAAAATCAATAGGCTTCTTTGTTTCATGGCCTAACACACTGTATATTAATTTAAAGTCAATCGGATATTAACTTTAGCCTCTAGAGTGTCCACAAGCAATTGTGGACGACGGACCCACGGACGGGGGCAACGACAATATACGACCACATTTCAATGTGGGCGTATAAAAATAGATTCTTGCTTCATGCGGTTGTTTTCTTCCAATTAAAATGTTTTAATAGTAAGTGCAGGAGGACCGCACTACACGCAAAACAAAAATCTACAAGATAACCCTGCGGACAAGAGAGAAAATAGACATTGCACCAAATAAACAAATATCAAATCAAGTGAATGGATCCGGGGGCCATCCGTTTGAAGCAAACTTAAGAAAGATAAATTAGTTTGAATATGTTTTTAGTCCAAATATATCATCAATCACTCAGTTTGTGCGTAGGAAGGCATCTTTAACTTCTGACCTTAAAAAGTGGAATGTTTGGTTTGGAGGATATGATAGATTGTAACTCTATATATATATATTTCACTTTGTATACCTCGCATATCAGACATCAAATATCTACCGGTAAATGAGGAAATATTGGATTTCCCAGTGAGACATAAATTAATCTGTTAAATAAAGAAATTTGATTCTTTATTTGTTTATATAAAAGGACCAGTAGAAAGACATGACCTCTCGTTTATTCCAATCTAAATTGTTTCTGCCTCAACTACAACAGATTTGGTCTGAAAACAGTGTTAAGATTATACAGAGCTAGCATCATATTCACTCTCCCACTCTCTTTCTCTCCCTACTTCCCTCCCACTCTCTTTCTCTCCCCACTTCCCTCCCACTCTCTTTCTCTCCTCACTTCCCTCCCTACCTCTTTCTCTCCTCACTTCCCTCCCACCCTCTTTCTCTCCCCACTTCCCTCCCTCTTTCTCTCCCCACTTCCCTCCCTCTTTCTCTCCCCATTTCCCTCCCACTCTCTTTCTCTCCCCACTTCCCTCCCACTCTCTTTCTCTCCCCACTTCCCTCCCACTCTTTCTCTCCCCACTTCCCTCCCACTCTCTTTCTCTCCCCACTTCCCACTCTCTTTCTCTCCTCACTTCCCTCCCTCTTTCTCTCCCCACTCCCCTCCCTCTTTCTCTCCTCACTTCCCTCCCTCTTTCTCTCCCCACTTCCCTCCCACTCTCTTTCTCTCCCCACTTCCCTCCCCCTCTCTTTCTCTCCCCACTTCCCTCCCACTCTCTTTCTCTCCTCACTTCCCTCCCTCTTTCTCTCCTCACTTCCCTCCCTCTTTCTCACCCCACTTCCCTCCCACTCTCTTTCTCTCCCCACTCCCCTCCCTCTTTCTCTCCTCACTTCCCTCCCACTCTCTTTCTCTCCCCACTTCCCTCCCACTCTCTTTCTCTCCTCACTTCCCTCCCACTCTCTTTCTCTCCTCACTTCCCTCCCCCTCTCTTTCTCTCCTCACTCCCCTCCCACTCTCTTTCTCTCCCCACTTCCCTCCCACTCTCTTTCTCTCCCCACTCCCCTCCCTCTTTCTCTCCTCACTTCCCTCCCACTCTCTTTCTCTCCTCACTTCCCTCCCACTCTCTTTCTCTCCTCACTTCCCTCCCACTCTCTTTCTCTCCTCACTTCCCTCCCACTCTCTTTCTCTCCCCACTTCCCTCCCACTCTCTTTCTCTCCCCACTTCCCTCCCACTCTCTTTCTCTCCTCACTTCCCTCCCACTCTCTTTCTCTCCTCACTTCCCTCCCACTCTCTTTCTCTCCCCACTTCCCTCCCACTCTCTTTCTCTCCTCACTTCCCTCCCACTCTCTTTCTCT